AATTATAGGGACATAAGTGTGAGTTAATATCTTATTAAGAATATGTGGTTTGGTATCACTCCTATACTTGCTCTCAAAGTTCAATGGATCTCTCCAAGGACATATATTGATACTATAAATCACTTACATGTCAGGGAAAATGAAAATTTTATAGCTGATTTTTGTTATAATAAATCAGAAGTTTACTAATCCAACTGCACATATTATTAGCATAACTTGTTTGATCATTGCAAATCATATATAATGCAAATGGTTATTGAGGATATGCATTGATATCCATTAAAGAACTAGAAGGTTCTTTGTGAATGGCAAACATGTTGTATACTTTAAGAATTTATATGTGCTACTTGTTCTTAAAAAAAATATTAGGTTTTCACTAATTATGAGTAAGAATGGATCTATCCTTTTCTAAAAATATAATAAATTCAAATATATGAGTCCATTCAGATAGCATGTGAATAGTGCAAATATTTAATAAATTTGATAAATGCATCTATAAGATGTTTTTGGAACCTAAAATTTGCAAGATTATAAACATAGGTCATAATGTAAAAGTATACAATTTTCAAACAATATGAGCAAGACAATTTCAATTGAAAATGCTAGTGAATTTATACATGAAACTTTCAATATATGCTTATGATTATTAGAATAGTTGAAATATCCTATTTAAAAGTGTGATCTAGCAAAATTATTTCTTAAAACCTCCTTCACAAATAGTGAGATCAATGCTTATGAGAACAAAATTTCTATTTTCAATTTGGAATATTTAATTTCACAAACTACAACATAATACACATTAAATCAATAAATTATTGTAAATTCTCCCCATTAAACTTGGCTTTTGGTTAGAAGCCAAGTATATGCCATCATAGAGTTTTTGAATGTGCAATGCCTATTATTATTGTTCCACCATGTTGCACATAGATGATTATTCATAAAAAGTTAGGATAAATGTTGGATAAGAACCTCTTTCTTCTTGTTTGTCTCCAAATGAAATAAAGAAAAGTTTATAAAGGAAGCAAATGGATTTAGAAGACTTATACTACATGATTAGTTGGTTATCATCATTTGATAAAGTTTTCTCAACATAAGGGGGAGAAAATGAGTAACTAGAAAAGAAAATATATAGAATACATTATCACTATATCTTATTTAGATCCTCACATATAACAATATGAACTAGAAGTTCATCAAATGTTGTATTCCCAAAATATCACAAAAGAATCTACCATATATAATGGCTGACTTATATGAAAATTATTAAATTTTTTGTTCTAGCTAAAATGTTCCAATTAGAATAAATGAAAATGAGACATGTCTATAGCATGAAAGATCAATTGGTTCAAAATATAAATTTTTTTAAAAGGAGAAAATAATCAAGATAATATTGAGGAGGTAGATACTCTATAAGAGGGTCAATATATAATTAATTGTAAAATCTTAGAAGAGGTTTAGGTACCTAAAGTAATAAAGAGAGATCTTAATAAGTTATGTCATAGTTGAAAACAAAATGGAATCAAAATAAAGTTGTCAATAACAATTTTGATAATAATATTAGGTGATTAAATGGGAATCTTGTATACAAATTTGTCATAAAAATAGACAAAATGATGATTGGCCAAACAAAAAAAAAGTGAAGGAAAAACCATAATGTAAGTAGAATTATATTCATTTTTAATATGTGAAAATCATGAACATGTAACTCAAACACTTAAAGTGTAAAGTTATCATGAGATATTATCTTGTAATAGATTTTTGTATACATTATTAGTCTGGCAATATAGGTAATTGAAATATGACACATTTATTGAATATTATTATAGCCTATGCATATCACTCATTGCATGATGAAGTTTACATGCAATCTTTGAAAGAGTTAAAATGCCAAAAGCATGAAATTTTTTTTTTGAGAAAATTATTCAACATACATACATGATGATACATGTGTAAATTCTTAAGCTTGTATGAATTAAAATAGTTCAAGTGTGTGTGTGTACACATACTATCTTTGCAAATGTATTGAAAATAATAGGTTTTGATAAAAAAATCATATTAAAATTTTAAAAATTGAGTGTTTACTCAACTTGTGGATTGAGTATTTAATACCAATTGTTATAAAATCATCAAAATATGTTTATTTTGTCTACCAAACTATACTGAATTGATTAATCTTGAAGTACCATAAATTTATGATTATGTATCTAGCTAATAGTGTAGATGATGTACTTTTGTTAACAAGTTTGAGTTCTTAGTAAACTAATAGATTTGAAAAAGAGATATGATATCATGATATCCAAAAATTGTGTAAAAAGAGATATGATATTATTTTGTGGATTTGAAAAAGAGATATGATATTATGATATCCAAATATTGTGTAAAAAAAGATATGATATTATGATATATTATGATATCCAAAAAATTTGTGTGCACGCGCGCGTGATAACAATGTGTTCAGTATGGTTCAACTATAAATAAGATTTGCTTAGTCACATATGAAAAATTAGTATATTATTTAGAAGTGTAATAATGTAAAAAGTGATGTAGTTATTAGGGGGAGTAAAATGCAATGTACTCTTTTTTTTTTAAACCAAGATTTTGTTTCATTAGATTTTTTAGTAAGGTTTTTAACGAGGCAATATTGAATAATGCATTAAAGAATGACTTTTTTTTTCTGCTAGGTTTTTATCTCATAAGGTTTTTACTAGCTGAAATTTTTCAATGAGGCATGTTTTTAAATAATATAAGGGTGTTATAAATATAAACTTTATGTGTGTATGTCCATCTTCCTATTTTAATTATATATAAATGTTCATCTCCTCATATTATTTCACATTTTTCAAAGGTTATAACTCATCATATTATTGAGCTTTATCTTTCCATATGATGTTTTTTTATAATACATTATTTCACAATCAAATTGTTGATACCTTTGAGTTGTGAGTTCTTACCTATATATGGCATCTCATTTGCCTTGTAAGTATGAAAAAAACATGGGAGAAGTCATCCTTATTTATGTTGTCTTTGTTCTTCTCTTCCACCTCTTTCTTTTCATTTTTATTTTTTTTTCTATATTCTATTCATAACATGAACCTCTCCTAAAACTCTCTTATCTCTCCTACCTTGTGAGAACAGTCCATATCTCAACCAACAATGCTTGTAGTTGGCTGATTCAGTTTCATCTCCATCTCCTCACTTTTCTTTCACTTTTTTTTCTTGAGTAGAAGGCCACGGGATTAACCCGTGTAGACAGACAATTTAAGTTTTATTAGCGCACAAAATATTCATACAACCAGAGGGTGAATTATCAAAAATCTGAGCATTTAAATTATTAATGGATGCTAACTGAGCCATTCAATCAGCATATTCATTAGCTTATTTTCTTTCACTTTTCAAAAGCTTTCAGCGACCTCATTCTTTTTTTCTCGCTATTGCTCTCTCTTCTCTTTCATTCCTAAGATGTGTTGGCATGACATTATGCATGCTTTCTCATAATCCATTAATAAATTAATATCTAAAACCACACTAAACATAAGGGGGAGCCAATGGCTTGTCTTCTAATGAATTTAACATGAAAACAAATTTTCTTTTTAACTATTAATACCTTCTATTATTTAAGACAATTTAAACACGATTGAATACTAAATATAAATATTTCTCTTTTGATAGGATTTAAGCATTTCTTTGCTACGTTGCTTGCATTTGATGTTCTAAATAAAGAATCTTTTTTCAATTGATTAAAGGTTAATGGTTCAAATAAAGGCAACCTAATTATAATTAAAATAATATAATTTAATTAAATATATAAAAAAATTTCATATAACTTAAAAAAGGTAATATTTAAATAAAAATATTAAATTATAAGTAAATAAAACATTCATATATAAACCACCCTAATCCAACATAATAGTTACTAAAACACAAATATGACGAATTGTGCTATTTGTAATCTCTGGTTTTCTTAAACTCAGTATTTAAGAACGAAAAAACATAAAATTCAGTCAAATCGGTTTGTCCAAAACGCTTAATTAGATTAGTTAAGATAGTGATTCACAGCTTATTAGGTTTGTTAGCCAATTTGAATTAGATTTTAATCCTGCTAATCTTTTTCTCACATGTCTTATTTGTTATGACTAATATCTTTTCACAAGATTTTTTGGTCTCGGTAAGAAGCAACTCATCTCACCAACAGCCTTGTAATAGAGTGATATGTAAAACTACTTTATAAGTGGAAGGTGACGAGTTCAATCCTGTTTAAGCTCATATTGTTAGTGCATATCCTTTTAGGCAGCAGCTCATCTCCGGGCTAGGAAATAAATGCACTGCATGTCTTGAGAAGAACTTATGGAAAGAATATAGGGACCAAACTTTTCTTCTCATTCTCTCCTAAATTCGTTGTATTAATCGCAGATGATTGTTTTTTTGATAGCCCAATCATAGATGATTTTTACAAATGAGAGTGCGGGGTAAAGTGAAATCTGCTATTTGCATTTTTTTGCCAACCTGCTATTTACATTTAATTGAACATAGCTGATGATAAAATTGTTTACGGTTAGTGAATAGTAAAAATTAATATAAGTTCTATATTATATTGATGTATTAATAATTTAAAAATCATAATTATTTATGAATATATTAATTAATAGAAATAAAGTTTATAATAAATAAATAATTATATTTATAATTGTAGTTATGTTTTTATTTTCTTTTTCTCTTTTTTGGCTAACATAATGGTAGTCATTTTTTAGACTTTGTACATAAATGCGTTTAGTTACCTAGCACTATTGCAAGCATAAATGTGCTGGATCTGCCACGTGGCGTCGAAACCGACGCTGAATTGTGCAATTCAGCGAGCCGCCACATAATCAGTGTGCTAGGTGCCACCATAGGTGACTCTAATCACTCGCTTCAAGCTGCCCTCCGCCCGCAGAAGCTGATGCCACCATCGTTTTCGTGATACTATTGGTAAAGTCGGACCATCTCCTCTCATCAACCATCTTATATTCTTCTCGAGCATTTTCTCTCTCAGCATATTGTCTTTCTTTCCTGTTATAAAACGATTACTCAAATTCTATACAAACCAATCGTTGCTACGCACAACTGCTGGAAGCTGCGTGCAATGCGTATTTAGTTTCTGAATCTCGGTTTCACTATGTATACGCTGGCTCGAGATTAATCCGATAAAGGCAATCGGTTGGGTTCTTATTTGTGCTTAACTTTGCTGAAAATCCAAGTTTTCGCATATTCTTCAACGTTGTTTTTCGCCGACTGTTTGTTTGTTTCTCTGCATTAGGAGTGGATGCTATATGAGTTGGAAATGGCTTCTAAATCAGATTAAGTTTTTGGATTCTGAATTGGTAACAGCTAAATTCAGCGATTGTTATCTCAGTGTGATTTATGGATGCTGATATTGGAGTTTGTGCGGTCAAGAATAGGTTTGATTTGATTTGAAGGCTCGGCTTAATATAAGTTCATAGAATAATGTTAGGTAGTTAAGTGATGCGAGGCGTGTTCTTATATGCTTGGAATTTAAGTCTTTTGCCTTTGTTCTCTTACGATCCATTCACTTCTTTGTTATTTGGCTGTTAATATTCCCGGATTATCTGACCAAGATTTGGTCTGTGTAACTATTAGAACTAGCTTACATATCAGTTTGTGTGATTCCTCATGGGTGTTAGCATTTGGTTGATTTTGATGTAAAAAAGCTGTTCACACGATGACTCGGTGCTCACTTGATATTGTGTATGCTTATGCAAATCCATTTTAGATTTAATGCACCTAATTTTCATTATTACTTAATTGGATGTTCATTGCACAACTGATGCTTGATAATTTGCTCCAAGGAACACGGTTCTGCATCTGATTGTTTTTCCCCCAGTTTGAATACATATTTTTGGACTGTCTTGGGATTTAGTCATGCATATGGAGTAACTAAAATTTTTAAGAAAACCTCATCCATCATGCATCCTGCTGCGCTAAAGGAGTTTTGTTGATTATGAATTAGTTAAATGTGCTTGGTGTTTGAATGATCAACGATTTTTTTTAATTATTATTTTTTTATTATGAATTTAGTCATGCATTTGGAGTAACTAAAAATTTTAAGAAAACCTCATCCATCATGCTTCTTGCTGCGCTAAAGGAGTCTTGTTGATTGTGAATTTGTTAAATGTGCATGGTGTTTGAATAATCAACGATTGTTTTTTTTTTTTTTAACAATTTGAGTGTCTATTAGATTATCTGTAAACTGAGGATACTTCGGTTTGCTTTTGATTGGCGTTGTGTGGCAATACACTCTTCCAGCTCTAGAAAACCGCTGCAACATTTTTAAGTCTTGACTTATCTAGAATAGAATACAACATACAACTATTTATCTGCACTAAACTTTTTTGAAGCATTCATTTTTGTAAAATGTTAATTGATTAATTTCTTATCTTATTACTTTGTCTTTAGACACTTGTGAATAATGATAGATCGTATAAACATTGAAAAATTTGATACAGTTGGGTAAACAGTATATTAAGTTGGCGGCACTTCTTGGTGCTGGCTAGTGATAGTTTTTTCAAATGGCTTCCTCCACTCTCATTAGTGACTCTCAACCTTGGGAAGAGTTGAAGGTAACTGGGATAATGCTTCTTTCACATGTAATATGTTGAACTGCTGTGAAAAATACTATTAACAACTGCTCATTTTTTCCAGGCCCATGTTGATGAGATAAAAAAGACCCATTTACGTGATCTATTGGGTGATGTCAAAAGATGTGAATCAATGGCAGTGTATGATGCTTATATATAATCACTATGCTATTATATGTTTTAGAACTCGTAGCAATGAAATAAAGAGCCTGCAATTTTGATGATTTAATAATGTTAAAAGATTAGGATAAAAATATCATTTTCAAATGTTAAGAACACCCAAAAACTTGGATTATGGTGAATATCTGACTTTGGCATACTTTGCCTCTGTAGTGAGTTTGATGGAATTCTGTTGGATTACTCAAGGCAACAGGCTACTCTTGAAACAATGAATAAACTCCTTAAATTGGCTGAGGTCAGTTCGTTGCATCTAGTGATCTCAAGAGCTTAATTTATTTTTTAGCACTTGTGTGGTCGGTTCTTTTAAACCAAAAGTCAAATGCCATACTGATATACTACCCTCTGATTATTGTTGGTTGTGCTGTTATATAGGCTGCATCTTTGAAACAAAAGATTAACAGCATGTACAGCGGGGAACATGTAAGTGGTTATGTACATATATAACTAGTCTCAAGTGCACCTATTTTACACCTCTCCATATTAACACAATTCTTTTCCTTTTTCTTTTTTTGAATGAAAGGTTTTTACTAGATTTCAAAAAGATGTCTGATGTCTGAAAATCTTGCCTTGAATGCTCCATACATCGTAACTCTGCTGAATACTAGTGATATATATATATATATATACACAGTGGATTCAGGTTCTAAATTGCCTGACTTATTAATTCTTGTGCACCTTCTACTGGACTTTCAGATAAACAGCACAGAGAATAGATCAGTGCTTCATGTAGCCCTTCGTGCACCAAGGGATGCTGTTATGCAGAGTGATGGAAAGAATGTCATTCCAGAAGTTTGGAAAGTTCTGGATAAGATCCAAGAATTCTCTGAGAGGGTCCGCAGTGGATCTTGGGTAATCTACCACTACATTTTGTCACCACATGGAAAATTATGGAACTCGAGAGTATTGTGCATTTTTATCTTTTGTAGGTTGGAGCTACAGGAAAGGCTTTGAAGGATGTTGTTGCAATTGGTATTGGAGGCAGCTTCTTAGGTCCATTGTTTGTGCACACTGCTCTTCAAACAGGTCGGTGAATGTTTACCAGTCTCTTATCGCAGCCCTACCATTCTCTTGGGTTGTCTGTATATTAATATTTCTTTGACCACATGTACATGTCATTGACCTTATCTTAAAACAAGAATTGTTGAATATATATTTATGGTATCTTATAGATCCTGAAGCTATTGAATCTGCAAGAGGTCGTCAGCTACGCTTGTAAGTTATTTTGTTACTGTGGTTTTCAAAGTCTGGTCTTTTATATCACATAAACGACCTGAGTGGTTTTAATTTTGAGTCTGCATGCTCAAGCTTTTAAGGATTTCCCCCCTACTTTGATCACAAGGCTAACTTTAATCTGTAGAAGGGCTGTTTTCAGAAGTTTCATTCATATGATATTTCATAATTTACCGAGTGCTGATTATTTTTGAAACTTGTGAATCAATGCATGTAAATGTGTCTGTAAATGAGTGTAAAGTTGGCTGTCTAATGGTTGAGAGGTATTGCATGATCCTTGTTCAAGGGAACAATGATACTGGACGGCTCTGATTAGAGATGTGCCTTGCATATTTGCTACAAGCATGTGTGTCTACAAGGGTTTATATTCCGTGTATGTGATAGTGCAGTAATAATTTTATCTTACTTAAATTACGTACTTTGGAAAACTAAACTATTTTTTAAGATTAACCTGTTCATTTTTTTCATTTCAATATGCAGTCTTGCAAATGTTGATCCAATTGATGTTGCTAGGAATGTCACAGGATTGAATCCAGAAACTACCCTAGGTAGATAAATGAATATTTCTTTTACACCACTTGTATTTATTCAGCAAGTTATGAAAATTGTATCTTATGTATGTCTGATATTGATGGAAATTTTTTTCTTTCTTTGCTGTAGTTGTGGTTGTTTCAAAGACTTTCACAACTGCTGAAACGATGTTGAATGCACGAACACTCAGGGAATGGATTTCATCTGCCCTAGGGTAACTGTAGTATTAAGACTATTAGTTCATCAAGGCTAAAGGCTATTTTGGTGTCCTGCTCTTTCCTTCCATTTGTATGATATTTTACCTTTTAGACCTAGTCATCTGTTTCTTATGCATCCCTATTGGTATCTTGAAAATGTGTTCATAGATTTTTTTTTTTAAGATAGAAAAGGGGGAAGGGGGATATAAAATGAATGTGATATTGGTTTGAAAATTGGCTGATAATTCCATTTCTTTCAGGCCCTCTGCCATAGCAAAGCATATGGTGGCAGTCAGTACAAATCTCACGGTACTGCCATTTTTTTGATGTATTGGTATAAGCTAGCTAAGCTTTGTTATATATTCACTTCCTTGTATTATTTTTGTTTTTGTGTTTTTGTAAGCTCATTAACTTTTTTTAACCTTCAATCTCTCTCTTGTTGATCTTTAATTTCTGGTGCAGCTTGTGGAGAAATTTGGCATTGACCCAAATAATGCTTTTGCATTTTGGGACTGGGTTGGTGGCCGGTATAGTGGTATAGTCTCTCTCTCTCTCTCTCTCTCTGCTCATTTCATTTCTTTATGAGTCAAATTTTGAAGTGTTTGTACATATTTTATTCTGATTCCTATCTGAAATGCTGCTTGCAGTTTGTAGTGCTGTTGGAGTGTTGCCATTATCTCTACAATATGGTTTCTCAGTAATTGAAAAGTAAGTTTTTTGGTTCCTCTTGTTGGAAGTGTCAGTATGATTCTCTTAATTTGAAGGATAACCATCCTAGTTCTAGCTTAATTCATTTAAACTCTTGCTGCATATTGTCTGATGCACCCTTGGAAGCATCATGGATTAAACAGACTTCATTCTGCGTCATTCTTTTCAGTAAAGAAACATAAGTTGCATGAGAAAGAAGCAGCTGCATACAAGACATGGATAACATAGAAAAGGCTTCTTCCTATTCATATGCTCCTGTGACTTAATTTAGAACAACAAAAGTGGCACAATGCTCCCGTTCCTAATGTATTTGGATAGTTTCCTGCATCTTCTTGATGGTGGAGCTGTAGCCTATAGTAGACAAAAAATCATATGGAAAATTTCTTCTTGTGATCAATTATAATAATTATATAGTTTGGACAGCCTATAAATATTTCTATCTTATATAAAATGCTATTCTTTTTAGTCAAATCGTTTCAGAGAAAGTAAAGAATATTCCTTCTATTTCTATCTTGAGTGTTTTTACTTTTTATAGGGAGTAAGAGAAATGATTTTTGTTTATATATGTGATTTGTATATGATGTATTTCTTTCCTCAAGGTTTTTAAAGGGAGCATCCTGCATTGATCAACATACACTTTCAGAACCTTTTGAAAGAAATATACCTGTGAGTACCCTGGGTTTAATCTGTATTTTTGTATTTATTTGCATCATCCGTGATTTCCTGCACGTTCATGCATCAATATGCCAATGTTTTTTAGCTCATGTGGTACCAGCATTGAATAAGCCCCTGGAAAGATTTATTATTGTTGGCAAAAACGGTACAGGAGAATCGCCAACGACTTCTTTCCTTCATAACTTGCCTGTGAGAACCAACAATAATGACATCTCACTTTCCTTTTATCTTTGTCATTTGAATCACACCATTGCTTTTGACCATGAAACATTAAAATATTTCACGTCTCATAATTTCAAGTTTAGAATCACACTGCAGTTCTGGATTGCATGTCTTTATAAATCAGCTATTTTTCAAAATATATAAGTCTCTCCATTAAACCCATTTAATTCTTCAATTGGATTATCTTGGGCTCATCTCTAAAATATATGATGAGAAGTGATAACGTGTAGTGTGTAGAGGTGGATTGGAATTTAACTCACTGCAGATTTCTTACTTACCTGAACATATCTTGGGTATTAGAGATGTTGCTTGATCAAGTTCATGATAACATGTTCTTTGTCTACCCTGCAGGTGCTTCTGGGATTGTTGAGCGTATGGAATGTTTCATTTCTTGGATATCCTGCCAGAGTGAGTAGTTTTGCTCCTTAGGTTCCATCATTCTTAACTGTCATTATTGATTTGAAACTTGTGCTCTTTCAGGCTATCTTACCTTACTCTCAAGCCCTGGAGAAGTTTGCCCCACACATTCAACAGGCATGTTGGTCACAACCTTGTGCTCAGGGCATCAGACATTTGTTTTAAAAAATTTTAATTTTCTTTCTTTTCTTATAGATTCCCTAATGTTTTATATAGGTTAGCATGGAAAGTAATGGAAAGGGGGTATCAATTGATGGTGTTCCTTTACCATTTGAAGCTGGTGAAATTGATTTTGGTGAACCAGGAACTAATGGGCAGCACAGCTTTTATCAACTCATACACCAGGTCATCTACACTCATCCCTATCTGACCTGGAAAGATTTGCGTTAAACTTTGGTGGGCTGTTAAAGTGCTATTATTACTTGTCTAGGATTTTTTTGTTTTAAATGGTTAGTATTAGTATCAGCTACAAGACAATGTTGATTCTTGATAACCGTGGCAAGTTAATTTGACACTGCAAGCATTATTTTGTATTTATGCCCAGATTTCTGTGCTGTAGACTTCTAGCTAGCGTGTGGAATTTAGTTTGTTCTCTCTTTTAATAAACTTTGGTGGGCTGTTAAAGTGATTTGTTACTTGTCTGAGGGATTTAAAGAAAAATATGGTTAGAACCGGCTATTCACTGCCCCTTAGTCAATGATGTGAACCTAGGCGGCATCCTAGATGGCTGCCACCTAGGTTCATATCAGTCAAGCAGTGATTTGATTGCTTTGATATCAGATAAAGTCCGAAATGAGTGCATACAAGAAAAGTAGGGATCGCTCTTATTGAAGGAAAAATGATAGAAAATTGTTTGAGGTGATTTGGACATGTACAAAGAAGACCACAAGAGGCACCTATAAGGAGAGTGGAATAGATAACTTTGAGCCTTATTAAGAAGGGTAGAGGAAGACCGAAACGAATACTTTTGGAAGTTGTTGATCAAAACCTTTAATGAACAATATTTGTAAAAGCTTATTAAATGATAGAGTACAATGGGATTATATAATCCATATAGCGACTCCACCTAGTGGGATAAGGCTTCTTCTTGTTGTTGTTGTTGTTATTGTATGCTTGAATTTTTTTAATCTTAACTGAAACTCTTGATCAGGATGTGGTGAAGAGAAAAGCCTTTTTTTGATGTCAACTTCCTAAATTATTTTATTAATGAAGATGATGATTTACACATGTTAAATATATTATTTTTTGGGCTGAAAATATACATAAAACACTATAATTGACAATGCTAATATATATAAATCGACCCCTTCTTTAACCCTCTTTCACATTTGAAAGTATTCATAGGTTTTTCAACATCTTTTGTTGTCCAGTTTTCTTCTATCAAACCCCCACTTTATAAGCACATTTGCATCAACTTCCCAAGTGATATGTGTACTCACTGCATTCATAACTTGACTTTATTTTAACTAGTTCCAGTCATCCCTATAACATTCAATGATTTGCTCCAATTGTAGTCATAAAGGCTTGCTTGGTTTATATTCAGATTCAGTCATGCAGGGTATCTTGTCATAAGCCAGAATAAACCATGTTATTGGATGCTTTGAGTTTCCACCGTTTTGGGGAATCGATTATTGTAAATGACCATATTTACCTTTAATGGTGGATATTTAGGTTTTAGAAATTTTTGAGTTGTGCTTTTCACTGAACAAAGTCTTTATATATTGAACAATTTTCTCTTATGAAAGAATACAAAATATAATACCATCTTCCAGATGGTGATGATCATTCTGTAACATGTACCTCATTTCCTTTCTGGTTCTTTCATTAATATATGCGGAAGTTAGATTCTTAGTTCTCAGTATCAATGAACTCCCCGGGGGTTTGATTGTTGAATGACACATCATCTCCTTGCTTGCAGGGGCGCATTGTTCCTTGTGATTTTGTTGGAGCTGTGAAAAGTCAACAACCAGTTTACCTGAAAGGTGAGACCTCTATTTCTGATTTTTTTTTTTTTAGGGGCTGAAGACCTCTATTTCCATAATCAAATGTATCATGGATGGTGGCTTGTTTAATGTTTCTATTTTGATATTTTGGTTTTTGACCAATGAAATGATTCTTTGCTTGCTTTCTTCTTCTGAAGGTGAGGTTGTGAGCAACCATGATGAGCTAATGTCCAACTTCTTTGCACAACCAGATGCCCTTGCAAATGGAAAGGTACGCTTCTTCTCTTTTCTCTTATGGAAGTTGTAAAGCATCCAAATGTCATTTTTTAGAGAACTAGCAGCAAACAAGGGAAGAAAAAAGAAACTGGCACTAGTGATGACATTTGTGATTACTTCCAATGATTAAATTCCAAATAAAAAAATTAGATTAACCTTATCTTCTTGCTAAAAATTAAGGATCCTTCCTTTTTAATTTTTTTTTTTTTTACTATAGTCTTTGCGTGAAGTGGCATTACTCTCAAAGTTAATGAGACAGCATGGATGGCAGAGAACATGTTAAGTTTTATCCAGTCGTGGGCTATATTAATATTATACTCGCATTATTTGATTTTCTAGAGGTACATAATTAACCATCAATATCTTGTAGACCGCAGAGCAGTTGCAAAAAGAGAATGTTGATCCGCATCTTATTCCTCACAAGGTGATTTCTCATATGTTTTTGTGCTACTTTTTGCATTATAGATTGATAAGTGGTCCTCCTTACCCTTGACTATTTCTATGGTAGACATTCTCTGGCAATCGCCCTTCTCTCAGCCTTTTGCTTCCATCACTGAATGCTTATAATATTGGACAGGTTTGAGATCCTCGAGCTTGTGACTTTTTTTTTTTTTTGAATTTGAATATTTGAATAAAGAGTGCCCTCAATAGAAAGAAAAGGAAATTATTTAGAATTGATGGAAGGCTCTTAAGAATTGCCTGTGTTCTCATAGCCGAAAGTTAAAGTTTTATCTGACTGATGCCCTTACCTCTGAGAAAGGTAGGGCAAATCATATGTTGTATTATCTATTTGATGTGCCATATTAGCAATATGACACTTGTCTTACAAAGCTGCAAGTCTAGTCTGTTCCTCACCTTACTTAACTTTGCATGTCCTTCCTCATGTTTGGCATGGAATCTCCCATGAAAATTGAGAACATCTCTTCTGCTTGGGGAGCTTTAGTGCATGTTTGGTTTATTGAAAAATGCTTTCAAGAAAGGAAATGGGAAATGCATCTATGCCATTTTCTTTCTAGATACATTTCCCTTTTCCTTTCTAGAAAGCATTTTTTCCTTATACCAAACATCCAATTAAAATTTCTTTTGTTACTTGAGTACTAGAGAAAAACATGTGGGTGGAAAATATAAAATGCTGGACTCTTAACTGATTTTCCTTTTGGTATCCACTGAATGCTTTCATGACATAACCGAAGATGCCTCTTCAAACATGAGTTCTGCGTTGGATGACAACCCATCATGCAATGAAATTCCATTTAGGATCCTTTCATCTCATTCAGCATCATGCTTATTTGTGATTCTCATTCCTCAAGTTATAACTTCTAACCTTTGTATTACTAGAATACCAATTTCCATTTGATGGATGGATTAAAGCACTGAATTGTTTTCCTCCACCAAATTTATATTGTTTCCCCACATCCCCAGTCTTGTGAATAATTTTATCCAGAAAATTTTGATTATTCTGACTTGGCATGCTTGTGCCTTTCAGATGAGAGTCTGGAATGCCTGAGCAATTTGGTCAAGTTTCTTAAAAATCTTTATGGCGCTAGTCTTTGATCATGATGCATGCACTAGATCTTAATAACATAGTACATACCTTTCTTGCAATGTGTCCCATAGTCATGCAAATTGTGTTCTTGGACTTACTATCATCTCTCCTCTGTGTTTCCAGTTATTGGCAATTTATGAGCACAGAATTGCTGTAGAAGGTTTCATATGGGGCATCAATTCTTTTGACCAGTGGGGAGTGGAGCTGGGAAAGGTATGCATTAATAAATGAAATATGACTCTTATAGCACCTTGCCAATTTAATGTGTGAAGTAAAGCGCTAGTTTTCACTTTTCTCCGGATTATAAATTTAATTGTCAAGAAGATTGCATGCTAGATTCTTTATCGGGAAAGACTTGGATACATAGCCTTACATGCTTAATATATATTTTTCCAATCAAATCAAAATGAATAGATTTTGATGTGTTAGTAATATTAATAACAAGAGTTTTTATAGAATAAATATCTATAAACAATACACATGCCTTGATTTAATTAGAAACAAACATTTTAAATATATAAAGCTAGGTATATAAGTTTTTCCTTTCTTTAAAAATACTTTTTGAAATAACAAATGATACTTCTCCTGCTATTAACACTTAACAAATATAATGCTATGAACTAAAGGATTTTAGAACCTTTTTGCAAATTAATATTGATATAATTTTTTGAGTGGAATATAATCTCTTTCACCTTCTTTAAAAAAAATGTTGTCGTAAAAAAAATTCTTTTTCATATGATCAAAATAAAAAACCTTGGAAATAAAATCAACTGTCAAAATTGCCCCGAAAGACAATGCTAGAAGCTGAAATTTATTTTTTTGGGAAAACAAAAGGAAGGCTAGAATATTTGGTATAATATTGAACTTGAGTTACAGTGAACAAAAATCACATATCATAATTTTGACAGTCTAGATCATGTTCATTTTTAATACAGTCCATAGATAATTTTATTGAAATTTGAAAATATATGGTGTTTGATATTGATAGCAATAATTTGGACTTGTAGCTTTTTATTCATACTAAGAAATGTAGTATTAAGTATACTACCAATAAATATGATAAATTTAAAAAACATTCTGCGTTACTCTTTCCATCTAGGAAAGATGATAACTTTCAAATGATCGGAAAAAATTACAAAGGGATTAAACTGATGTGGGAAATGGGAATTCTTTGAAGAATCATTTAGAGAAGTTAGACTTCTTTCATGAAAAAAACAATAATTTGTTTAGAAGTTTTAATTTTTTTACCCTGAGGTTTATACGTTTAATTTTAACATTTTTCAATATGATTTAGTTTTTGTAGTCTATCAACTAAAACATTGGGCCATGAATCATAATTTTTCATTTCTCCAGTTAAATATATAAATAGTTAACTTTTGATAATCATCCGAAATTAAAGGTATCAGGGGTATAATAAGACTACAAGTGAATAGATACTTTGCTCTTACCCTTGTGGTAAAATACAATGTTCTAGCTGTTATGTCTCTTTCTGCTTGGATATGCTTCTTCTCTAAACATTTTTATTTTTAAATGTTTATGTAGTCATTGGCCACTCAAGTCAGAAAGCAACTTAATGCATCTCGAACGAAAGGAGAACCAGTTCAGGGATTTAATTTCAGTACTACAAGAATGTTAACAAGATATCTCAAGGTACAACTGGCCCTAATTCTACTCCAATAAGAATCAAGTATATAAAAGTTATCTTCCTAGGAGGTCTAGGACTAGTTTGGAAGTTTTTTATGGAAAATTAGTGTCAGCACTTCAAATATAATTTGACGTCAGACTTAGGTCTGTAGTATCTTCATCCAATATATTTTGCATACGATAGCTTATAGGTGCAACCAGATAAAATAAAACCACGGAAATATTTATAAAAATGGAGGCATTTTCTTTTTGTTGACAGTAACGGTTAACGACAGACACCACGAGAGAATGAATTCATGCTCTACTTCAGTATAGGAGAGTGATTTGGCTTGTTCATGTGATTAAGGGCCTGTTTATTTTAATTGAGTTTAACACGAATTATTGGAAGAACATTATACTAATCATGAAGGTTTTGTTGGGGGGCAAAATCTATTTTTAGCTTTTTTTAATAAGTTATTTCCAAATAACTTATTGAAATGAGTTTTTCCAACACATCCCTCATGTTTAGTGTTTTTGTTTTTCCACCAGAATTCCTCGTATTTAGTTTGAGTTCTTCCAACAATTGACACATGCTCCGAGCAATTTTCTCATGTTTAGTTGCTCAACTAAAATCAAATTTTTAATCTTTAAACAAACTGGCCCTGATGCTTTGGCTTGCTGGCATAGTCTTTATGGTTTAATTTTTGTTGGTTACAGGCATTATTAACTTCCTTGATGCCTGTACTAAAATTGTTTCTTCACATGGCAGGATAGTGCTGATGTTCCGGCAGATCTTCCAACTCGTTTACCGCGGATTTAAATGTCTTTTTGCGAGCTATGTTTGTTTTGAATTTGATCAAAACCAAATATGAATCCTGCAGCCGTGATGCAGGCAATTTGTTTTATAACTCTTTTTGTAACCTGTGAATTCTGATTGTATTTAACATGTTACTGATTGTCGTTTGAAATAATTTATGGACTCGACATATTCTCAAGCATATGGCTGCGCTGAAGGTTGAATTAATTTGGGTGATGTCGAAAATGATGAGAATGCCAGCATGCTTCTCTTGGATGTTAAACAAGGGCGTGGCCAGTAATCTGATAATCTTTCCCGATTCCGTTTTTAAAAAAAAAAAAAAAAACAAAATATGTAATAGTAAGAAGGTAATTTCTGGAGGACTCGACTTCCCTCCATGCCTTCATGAGGAGAGGATATATTTGAGCTGTCCAAATTAAATCTGAATTATTCAAATTTAATGTTTTTTATTTTTTATTTATATTTATTAAAATAAAAAATTTATATAAATTGTAAAAAAAGTTTAATAAATATGTTTACCAGCCTGAACAATCTAGAATTTATATGAATAATTCACATTTAATATTAAATTTTTTACAAATTAATTATTCAAATACATGCTAGACAGTGAAAACTTAATATTAATTTTTTTGTATTTTTAATATTAAATTTAGATCATTAATATTAATTTTGGACAGTCAAAACTAATGAACAGATTTATTAAAATTTTTTACAGCTTATATAAATTTTTTATTTTAACAAATAAAAAATAAATACTTATTTACTATGAACTGTTCAGAGGCACAGAGGAGGGAAGCTGAGTCCATTTCCAAAACCCGCACTGTTTTTGGGTTCAGAGAGACAGTACGTTGGGGTGCCTCCACTGTGACTTCTTTTATCATTATGTTGGATGCACTCTCGTTGGCATGTTGATGGTAATTCCGTTCAACTCTAGAAAGATGAGTGGGATGCAAAGGGGGAACGTTCATATGATTGATGCCGGAGTTGGTTTCCACGGAAGGATTGTGACAAATGGAACTGCGAAAGGGGCGATAGGACAGCTCAATTCGTATGGATCAAATGATTTAGGGTCACAGATTAAACAAGCATGCATTAAAAAAATAAATAACAAAGTACATTTGATTGAATGAGCAAATCTGACCAACTAGATTTGCGAGTTGAAGAAGTCGATGCAGCAGAGTTAAGTCGTTTTTAGTGTTATAGAAACAAACGTTATTTCTCAATATTATAGCTCGCCAAATTTAAAGACTCACTTCTCTCAATTGTTTCTTTTCTAATGTCTAAAATTCTTTCCAACTTCTGAAATTGGTAGGTATATTTGTAAATAAACCATATCAAAGGAAAGAATAGCCCTTTTTTTTTGGGGAAAAAAAATCACATAAAGATAATTTGGTTCGCGTCGTCATTGCACAATTTTAGTGTAAAGCCACATGTTTTTCTCGCTGGAGATGAATATGGCTCAGGAAAAGAAGACGAACTGAAACGAAGAAAAATAATTAAAATGATTCCCACATTTCATATTTACAATTACTGTAAAAGTTAAGGATTCAAATTCTTCTACTTGGCTGCTGCAACCTAGTCTTGACTCCTGTCTTACTTTCAACCTCAAATAGGTACATGTAATTCTTAAAAAGCAATAATAAATGTTGGCAGGGAACAAAAGAGGTAAAAATAAAGAAGAGAGTTGTACACATCATTTTTAAGGTGTGGACAACACTTTTTTTTAGGTTTAATTTACTCTCACCTTTTTTTAATTTTTATGTGCAAGTTGGGTTGATGATGAATTTCTTTTATAATATAATAAAAATCAAGTATGGTTTGTATTACTAAGATTCAAGTTAAGACAACAATAGTTTTACAAGGTGATAATTTGAATTTATCCCCATTGCACTCAAAAAAATAAGGACAATGAATTTTAATTGATGAATCTCTTTTTAATTATCCTAGAGTGATGGTAATGGATATTTATAGTTATTAAAATAATGTCTTGGAGTGATACCTTTTAAATAATACAACTCTCTTTAAAAGTAATAATCAATGTTGATTCATAGCTTTTATATTGATTCATGAATAATCTTATGTTAATTTATGAATATCCCTATATTAATTTATAAATCTACATAATTTAATAATTAAATATTAATTAAAAGTTATTTATAATAATTTTTTATAAAAAGAAACATGCTTTTAATATGATATTTTTTTTAGTTGTATAACTCTTTAAAGATACTTTTAAAATTTAAAGACATAACCTTAATGATTATAACTCTCTACTTAATCTTTTATAAAATATTTTTTAATTTATAAAGATATAACTCTTTAATTTAAAATTTTTATTTTGAAAATATTCCAGCAACAAATCATACAGCCAAATTCGAGAGAGAGAGAGAGAAATTTTATTGATATTTCCTGATGAAAGATCGTATCGCAGATGGCCAGAAAGACACGAACCTTTGTATCGAGAAAGAATCTAGGATGTACTCTGACTGAGTGCTTTTGAGGAGACTAGCATGAAGCAAGAAGGAAACATAGCTTTATATCAAAAGGACATGTGGGGTCTTCTGTTATTGTTTGTGCGGATCAGGCGTGCTCTTTGCCCGTCACGTTATAATCCTTACTTCCACCACCTCTGCGACGTTTTGTGAACCACCTTTCCCTCGCCCAAAAGAAAAACACTAAAGAACTTGTTTTCTTTCAGAAAGCACCTGCAAGTAATTCGATTTTAAAAGCTTGTTTGAAAACCTGTTTTAAGAATATTTTTTTGGTCTCTAAAACAAAAAAACAAAAAATCTTGTTTAGTAACTTATTTTTAAAAAAATATTTTAGAAAATAAAAAAATAAAATATTATTTTAGAGAATAAAAAAATGAAAATAACTTGTAGTTGTTTTGTAATTATTGTTCTGTAAAATAAGGAAGAATGAAAAAAAATATTTATTTTATTATTATTTTATTTTCAGAATATGTTTTATAAAACACTAATTTTTAAAATAATAAAATAAAAATAATTTCAATCAGCAGCTCATGACATTCTGATTTCCCTACTTTTCTACCTGGTTTTCCTGGGATATTAATTCTTCGTTGTGCCCATTTGCTTTACTCTTTTTCAAGGCAACATCAAAAGGTAAAAACTCAAAGAAAGTAGAGATTTCGGGAGTGCAATGACTACTGTAACTTTAAATGGGAAAGGGTGATTATCGCCACGCGCCAACACTAGGAGGCAATCACTCCTATGGCGCTAGTGGTTATTGGTTTGCACGCCAAGCTCAAAACATAGACTGACTAACAAAACAAAATCCTAAGGAGCTGGCAATGATGAGCACATGGAATATTTAGCAGTTGTGGCAGAGCGGCAGGCCTTTGTATGTATTATGTTCGCTTGTCTCCTCAGCAGCTTACACCACTCACCGATTCCTGTGAGGTCCTCTCATCATTACAACTTTATCCCTCATAGTGGATATTGCTATCCCTCACATAACCAACTAAGCAAATCATTCCCGCACACAGGATTCACTTTCTCTTTTCCCCAGCGATATATATGGTCAAGTCTAGCTCCACTCCATTGGCAAACCCAACGTCATTCTCCCCCCCCCCCCCGCTTCTCTTTCTCTCCAATTCATACATACATCGAAGGAAGCCTAAATATGGAGGTGAAGAACAGGAATGTGAGAGAGAAGCCAAGGAGACAGAGCACGAGGAGGATACAATACAGACAATAGTGTTCACAGCAGGTACAGTTCTTCTAATGGTGTGTCTAAAACGCTTTCAAGTTGAGCAGTGGCGTGCCTGGGTGTTTCTTATCCTCAATCTCATCCTCTTAGCCATTGTATTCATGTCCCTGCGCCCTCGAAGCTCAGCAAATGAAGGCATTGTTGAAGCAGTGAAGAATGACAAGACAAGGAAGAAGAGGACATGTGAATTTTCTCAAGAAATAGAAGATGGAAAAGATTGCTACAAAGAACAGTGTTGGACAAGGGATTTTCAGAATGAGAGAGATGAGAAGGAGGAGGAGGAAGAGGCGGTGGTGGAGGATGAGGTACCACGGCTGTCAAAGGAGGAACTGAATGAGAGAGTGGAAGCTTTCATTACCATGTTTAGGCAGCATTTAGTCTCCGACGCTAGACAAGCTGAAAATTACAGGTTCCAGAAGAACTCCAACATGACACCTAAAGGATTGAAGTGTCTTGTTGTAGAAGCTTAATCCCAAAGACAGCTACAATTTTGTATTCTTTTCTAACTTTATGAAAAAATGCCCTCCCTCACGTTTTATTTGAGTGCCTCTAATTTACCCTTCTCATAATTACTAATTACTAGCCATCATTATTTCTTAGGGGAAAAAAGCCTTCATTCACTATTTACCTGTTTCTTAAGTAAAAGGCTACATGGGAGTCCATACAAATAGCATAATTTGGTCCTCTATTCGCTGGCAGGGTCCCCTATTTATCTAACTCCACTAACCTCCGACAACCCCCTAAGGGAGAGCCAATCAAGTAATATCAACGAAACTGTCATGAGCTGATTTAACAAGTCAATTTTCATATTTATTGGCTTCATTCACCAACTACCAGTATAAGAATTTGCTAGCCTAATTTAGCACTATACACCTCCCCGAAAACCATGTTTCGAAATGTGAAAAAGTGCGTCTTACATTGGAGTAAACATGGAAGGTTGCTTCCGAGTTTCATGTTCTGGAACGTGGTTTTTGGGATGGCCTACACCACATCAGACACGCCCTTAGTCTGACACAACTCTAGCAATTTGCTAGTTACCTACAGTATGGATCAACACCAATTAAAATGTTATTAATGAGGCATTTGCAGGTCACATGCTCGACAGGGTGACTATCTGTTTAATATGTTTGTTTTAGTTCAAATCCATGTTTCTGATTTTCAATTGAAAAAAAAAAAAGAAAAGAAAAGAAGAGGTGAGAAAAATGTTCTTTTCTAACTTTCTCTCCAAATCATATTCCTCTAACTTAACAATGCACCAGACTCTTCATACAGGCCCCATGCTGCTTGTACATGTATATCATATATTCTATCTAATCTTAACTCTCATCCATCCATGTTGAAAGAAAAATCATTCAATATTGATTAGTAATTATATTTGAAAAGCAAGGTTACCTATGTGGATTAACTCAACTAAACAAGCTTGAATTTATTTCAGTGTCAAAGGATGTGAGAATTCCCAAGAGAAAAAAGTGCAAGAGAAATCAAAATAGAGTCGCTGACAGTCTTGCAAAAGAGGCACTTTCTCAGATGAAGTCCCTCCTTATCTAAGGACTCAAGTGCTCACCGATTTTATGGGATTTGAATCCCCACTTTCTTAGTTAATATATCTTATTGGTCCCCGCCTCTCTTTTACCAAAAAAAAGAAAAAAGAAAAAAGAAAAAAAGCAAGGTTCCCATGTGGTAAAATTCGCAGTACCGCGCGTGATGGCACAGCAAAAGAATATTTCTAATGTCTCATTCATTTCTAGTTGATGTTGTTGTGGTAGTGGTGTTGGTCGATGCATCTTGAACCAATGTACACCCTCCGTTTCAAAGTATAATTTTAATTTATTCGACACACAGATTATAAGCAAGTTCGTCAATATGTTAATATATAATTTGTATTTCTTAGTTTGTATATCTAAATATTATTTAATAAGGATATATATAAAATATAGGGTTAGTTTAAAAATAAATAATTACTTTATTAAGGAGTGAAAGTCAGTTAAAATGTTTTATATTTTTTAATAAAGTGAGTAAAAGACTTGTATTTAAAACAAAGGGATTTCAAGCTCTTTTATTAGCCAACGAACAAAGAAAAGTGCACTTTAATTTCCTTTAACAACCAACACATTTTTTTAATCAAATCAAATATAGATAATAATAAAAATATTATCCCTCTTATTTGAAACAACAAAGAATATAAGTGTGCATATTACAGAGTCAACATGTTTTCCATGCATTGTATCAAATTTTTAGTAGTATGTAAGTGACAATATTCTTATGACCTTTGAATCGTATGGGTCATTACAAATTCTATTTTGACGTTGAGTGTAAAAAAAGAAAAAGAAACTTTTTCTTCACAAAATCATATAAGATTTCTTTTTCCTGCTCATCATTCGTTACATCAAACTTAAAGTCATTCCTCATGGGAAAAAAAAATTAAAATAATAGCAGCACAGTTGTGAACTTTGAAATACTTTTTAAGATCGAACAAGATATAGAAATGATAAGGTAGAAATATTATGCATAGATGTTGTATCTACATGTCTATATACCTGTATTTATATAAGATATAAAATTAATGGAAAGTTTGTACCAAAAAATAAATTTATAGAAAGTTGTACTGCTATTTATGAGTCATAATCATGAACCAATATAACCTACCTCAATTTGCTTTGGGTTAACCACACTTATTATTTTATTGAAAATAATTATATTTGAGGCACTGCGACCACTAAATATGAGCACTCTCTTAACAAAAATTCGAACATTAATTTATGATATTGTGAGAAATTAATTTTTTTCACTAGACCAAAACTTATTGGTAACTTACCTCAAATTAATTAGAAACATAAAACCCCACAATCTAGTTGATCTCCAATTAATTTTTTTTTTTTAAAGGTCGATCTCCAGATTTTAATGGTGCCTTTCGTGTTGGACCCAAGTTAAGAGACGCAATCCACATCTCTCTGTTTGTTTTTTTTTTTTTTGGTGCTTCGGACTGAATCCATGTCTTCTTTTCTAGGCAACCCATTTGTTTGTTGAAAAATTCCAAATCAGCAATTTTTTTTCCACTGAATGGGAGAAATTCATGTTAAATTTATCCAAGTAAAATGACCAAACAAATAACACAACTATTACCATTATTCAATTACCCGATCAGCTGGATTTAGAATCCTCTGATCCTCATATTATCAGTTTAATTTTAACATAGAAATCTCTATAATACATACACATACTTCATGTACGAGGCGGAACGGTGATAGAGTTGGTTTGATTTTGATAGGCAGAATGAAATAAAATATAATAAAAAGGAAATGAAACTATTATAATTATATAAACATAAAATGACTCATTTCAATTTAGACCCATTTTTATCTTCATCTCTAAATTTAAATGAGTGCATGTTACAAATTAAAAATATGAATATTTTGATTATTCGTATAATTAATTTAGTATATAAAGACATTATATTCAACAATATTCTGCAAAAATATGGAAACAAATATTCAGATACAATATTTAATATAAGCATTTTTCTGGCTAAATATTTAAACCAAAAAAAAAAGAAGCAAAACTAGGATAAGTAAAATCGAATATGTGGCGAAAAAACAAAAAATCGAATGAATGATTATCAACGGGTAGCCAAAGGCGCCTTAGTGGAAAACAAGGTTTGGGAACGAGAGATGCCACGGATCGAAAAGGATAGGGCGGTATTGCATGTGAGGGCCAGTTGCCAGTTTGTTGATGAATTCTATTCTGACCATTTTTTTTTTTCAATTTTTAACATATGACTATGATATTAACACTTAAATGTAAAAAAAAAAAATATTTGACCTTAACACAGACAAATGATACAAAAAAAAATGATAATAAAATCTTTTTTAAATATATAAATAATAATTTGATCTCTCAAAATGTCATAATTCTCCTGAAATTTTTAAAAACTTTTTTATCATTAATAAATTTATATAAATTATTAAATTATCTTTATTAAAAATAAGTGATTCACAAATTTTATTTAAATATTCATAACTTTTTTTTTATATTTGCAATAATGTAATATCAACACAGCTTCACATGTAAATATTTATATTTTTTTTTATATAAATTATTAAATTGCCCTTATTAAAAATAAATAATTCACAAATTTTATTTAAATATTTACAATTTTTTTATATTTGCAATAATATAACAGTAAATCATACCTTTGCATATTAAATTTTTTATTTACTGTTGCATAATTATGAATATAAGAAAAAAAATTGTGAATATTTAAACAAAACTTTTAAATTACTTATTTTTGACAAGAATAGTTTGGTAATTTATATAAATTTATAAAAAATATAAAAAAGTTTTAAAATTTTACAAAAATTATAACATTTTAAAAGATTAAATTATTATTTATATATTTTTAAAAAAATTATTGTGATCATGAAACAATAGTAGTATAGGCAATAAGGCAAATATTTGACCAGGGATACTGGGATAGGATAGGGGGCGCTGGGAATAAAAGTCAAAGTTTAGCAACGAATGTGACGTAAAAAAGAGAGAAAAAATTACAAATAATGGCTTTCAGATATCACAAATAATCAATTAAGACCATGAAAATTTGAAACTGAATTTTAGGATCATATTTTTTTTGTAGTTTTAAAGTTTTTTGTAGTTTTAAAAATAGTACTTTAACTAAAATACCTTATTTGGTGACCAAATTTACAAGTTTGGGAATAAAATATTTTCCAATTTAAATTAAATGATTTCATAACCCCTTTTACCTGAATTTCAAACCAGATTTCAACATTAACAGATTTTAAATTAATCAATTGTAAGTTTGGTAACCAATTTTGTGAGTTTGAGAGAAAAAAAATTTTCAATTAAATAAAACAATTTCATAACCCCTTCAACTAAATTCGTAACCCAATTAAAATTATTTTAGCACTAACAGTTTTAAGTTTGCCAATTATAAGTACAAGAATAAAAACATTTTCAACTCAAATAAAGTGATTTCATAATCTCTTTAAACTAAATTTTCAACCCAGTTAAATGATTTTAGCACTAACAAATTATAAGTTGACATTTCATGCAAGGACTTTTTAATTCAAAATATTATTTTTAAAGCTACAAGTAACACCCTAGTCCTAAAATTTAATTTCATAATTTCATCCTAATTAGTTATTTGTAATATTCAGAGGTCCTTATCTGTAATTTTCTGGGAAAAAAAAACATATTGCAAATATGGTATGGTACGATGCTTAATGAAACCAAAAATAGAATAAGCATCCAACGATAGTTAAACAACACTATCTCCATTCAAACTAAGTGCAATTCTCACATTGACATTTTTGTCCATCAGTTGTGATTAACTCCTTTAAAAATAATAAAAGTTCAACAGTGGATACAAACTTATTAGTCATAGGCCCATCGTTTCCTTTTGCCTCTAGATTAAGCCTTCTTAATACACCCTTGGCCTCAAGGCTTAATGTTTGGTGAAAGAAGCTTCCTTCCACGGTCCCACTTAGTTGCCTTCCAAGTTCTAACGCACTTTTATGTTTTTTT